ATGTATATATGTATATGTATGTATATGTGTGTGTGTGTACATATATGTATATGTACTGTCAATGAATATGATGCATTTCTTTGTGTATGAACCTCTGTCCTGCATGGCAGTGAGAAGTGATACCACCCTCAGTGTCAAGACCTGACTGAATTACTCAGAATAGGCAAACTGTACTACAAGCTTTGTCAATAAATTTGTTAAACTAATTAACAACTTGTCCCTTGCTGTACAACACCTCAGCGCACGTGACCTACCTGACCTCCACTGTAAACATTAATTTGTGTGTTCCTTTTCCTGATGAAAGCTTTCGTTACCCCCCCATATTTCTGTCCATATATTTTTTCAGCCTTCGGGCTGCTGAACTTTTGCAATAAACCGTTTATTATTATTATTATTATTATTATTATTATTATTATTACACACTACTACTTTGTTGTCACTCGGAATCGAGTACGACGATCATCCAGCTATGATACAATGATATGAGTTATTGAGGATGTCACTTTAGTTGGTGAGCTTTGAGGTGGCTCGAGAGGCCGATACGGGACCGGCAGGGCCGTCCACGCCAAGCCATACAAACGCCAAGAAAAAAATTATAACCCTCATTTACCGCCTCTAAAAATTACCATAAAAATAATAGCAGGATATCCAGACAACACCACACGCTACGGGTCCTCTCTTATTTATATACTTATTTATTAGCTGCATGAGAGAAGAGAAGAGAAGAGAAGAGAAGAGAAGAGAAGAGAAGACTACACAAATTTCACTTTCTCCCCAAACTCATCTCTCACTGTTTACAATAAACCTTAAAATAATCGATTTATTTTTCTTAAATAAATACAAATATGTTTTCTTACTCTTTTCTTAAGTATAATACAAATAAATATTTTTCACCCATACATTACTGTTAAACAATTACATGGGGATGATACTCTTTACAGTTCTAGGTAAAATATTGTTTTTTTTATCACTATAATAGACAATAATCAAATTAAGCCCAACCAGAATATGTCAATAAATTTGCGTAAGAATTCACATAAAATATTTGTTGGTTTGTTGAGTAAATATTGCCGATGAAATGTTTGGTTACTGTCAGTGGTGTACGGTGCTTCTGATACACTGTAAACACTGAACACGTTGTAGAGTAACCATAATAATCCTGAAATTTGTCTCCTTTGTATTGGAAGTGGAAATTAGGTGCGAGGGAAAGACGAAGAATGAATAACGGAGGAGATGGAATGCGGTGACAAAGTGAAGGAGAAACAGTGTTCACCCTCAAGTCACTCTACTCTCACACTGCCGCGCCACCAACACTAACCTCTACAGTTTTAGTACAACAGTGAGTTAGCGAGAGTGACATTGCCAGAACTACCACAGCAATACTGATGGTGGTAAGTAGTGGTGGTAGCAAGAGCTCTCACACCAACAATAGTGGTGGTGTCAGTAATAATGGTGGTGGTAGAAACGGTGGTGGTGGTGGTAGTTATGATCTCCCAAACCAACTGTGGTGGGACAGCAGGACTTCCCAATGGGGTGGACGACGTGAGGCTGTGGGCAAGAGCAAGCAAGACGTGATGCGGGCGGGAAATGGGTGAGAGTGGTTGAAGGAGTGAAAAAAAATGGAGGGTTATGTTAAGGGGTGGTGGATGGTGGGTGAGGGGGTGGTGGATGGTGGGTGAGGGGGTGGTGGATGGTGGGTGAGGGGGTGGTGGTGGGTGAGGGTGGAATGGTGGGTGAGGGTGGAGGATGAAGCTGGATGAAGGGGTGGTTGTACGGGTTGGCTGGGACGTGAGTGATGGGATAGAGGGGTACGTGAATAGATACTGAAGGTGGGGTAGGGAGGACGGCAGACGACTGGAAGAGAGGAAGGAGAGAGAGGTTAATGTTGGATGATGGAAGGATGGTGAGCTGTTTCATGGAGAAGAGGAGGGGGAGGGGGAAGATGAGAGAAGGAAGAACGAGTACAGGGGGGAGGAGAGGGTAAGGGAGGCAGGTGGGTGGCTAGGCATGCAGCATACACAGGTTACTGCCCTCCCCAGTACCCAGGTCCCGCGCCCAGGGCCCCTACGGCTACCACACACCCACACACGTACGTCTCTTTCCATCAGTTACACATTACTACGTGAGAGTATGAAGCATCTAGTGGAGAACTGTGAGGAGCTTACACAAGATCAGTTGAGAGGGACCAATACTAGGCCCAGGAAACACTTCACACAGGGAGGGTGGATACGGACACAGGGAGGGTGGACACGGACACAGGGAGGGTGGACACGGACACAGGGAGGGTGGACACGGACACAGGGAGGGTGGACACGGACACAGGGAGGGTGGACACGGACACAGGGAGGTGGACACTGGACACAGGGAGGGTGGACACGGACACAGGGAGGGTGGACACGGACACAGGGAGGGTGGACACGGACACAGGGAGGGTGGACACGGACACAGGGAGGGTGGACACGGACACAGGGAGGGTGGACACGGACACAGGGAGGGTGGACACGGACACAGGGAGGGTGGACACGGACACGTTAACATTTGCTATATTTTCCCTCCCAGACTACTTCCTCCACACCCACGCAGACAAGTTACACTCTGTGCTTGAGATCAAATTAAATCATGATTTCGACTGATCTTGAAGGTGGTAAAAAAAATATAT